GAAAATGAAATTAAAAACGAATGAAAAACAAATGAACATATTGAACAAGCCTAAGTTTCCAGATCAAACTCGACTATGGCTCTGTTTGCTTCACCTCTCTAATCTTCCTTTCTTAAGGGGAAACAGAGGAGGCAATGCGCTGCTTTTCACTTGTGTGCAAATGGGCACATTTATCATTGGCCTTATTCTAATGCTTGCTGATCTGGTTCTTTCCAACCCTTTCTTTATCCTCTTCACATTCTTATCTCTATTCCCAGACCCTTCTTTTCCTTCTTCTGCTGTAGCTACGTCAGCCAGCGAGCTCGAAGAAGACGATGTTGAAGAGGAAGAAGACGATGGGGATAAAGAAGAAGCGCGCTGCTTCTTCAACCTCAGCAACTCTTTCCACAATACAGTACATTTCGGTGGCCTTGGAGATGGGTCATCGTCCACAAACCAACTTACCCTACTCTCCTCCTTGTTAACTTCTGCCTCCTCTTCCTCTTCAGAAGCTTTGGTTTTAAGGCTGATTTTGTTGAGCTTCTCGGAATGCTGCATTTGCCAAAAGGGGAGCAGCTTTCCTTCAAAGAAAAGCTCATCCGCTGTCAACATGGCATGGCTGCTCACGTTGCTTGAAAGGAACTCAAATTCTGCAGCTCTTGCCTTGTCCTTCTCCCACTCCTTGGCCTCCTTCCCTTTGTCTTGCCCCTTTTCTTCATTTTGAGAATGTGGGTTGATGGAAATGAAGTTGTTTTCATCAAGGAAATCAGCAGAGAAAGAAATCCTTGGACTTGAAGTTGGCTCTATAGTTCTAGAGGTTGCCTGAACAGCTTCCAGGGCCATTCTTTGGATTCAGGAAATCAATGGACAAAATATAATTTTTTGGAAATTTGGCCTGTGAGGTGTGTTCCTGTCTGAATGAGATATGCATGGGATTTGTGATTTATAAAGGCGGGGAAGATGCCTTTTAAGAGTTTCTTTGCTGTAAACTTTTATTATTTATTTAATTCTCATCGCTTTTGTTTTGTTATTGTTACTTTGTTAGTAATTGGAGTGGACGGTGAGATTATAAAAACTAAGTGGTCTGGTGAAGCCGAAACAAGTGAGCTAATGTGGTGTTTAGTATATTGAAAACAGCACATGGATACTTCTCTACGAGATGTAAAGGACAAAAAGGATTTCTCCCTTTGGGTTTTGCATGCAATTGTAAACCATCATATCTCTCATTCTTTTTTCTTTCTCTTTCTCGAGAAAAAGTAAGAACGAAGAAGTTTCCTGTTCCATTCCTGTCCTGAAGCTGGCATCTTACAATTGGTGGCTGGAAAAAGAGATACAATTAGTTAAAAAAAAAAAACATTTACAGTTAGTCATTGGGCATGTCATTTTCTTTGCTTCCCGAGTAAACTTTGAAAAGAGTGATGAGAGAAAAATATATACATTCCAGGTTATTGCAGATTAAGATGACCGTTACAAGAAATTACTAGTAATAGAAAAAAAAAAAGACACGTTACAAAAATGTGAATAATTTATGAATAATTAATTTAGCAAAACCCATGTTAAATAAAAAATAAATGTTTTAGCATTTAGCAATAATTAAAAAGAAAGTTAAATTTTCAGTGAGTTGAAGATTTTGTTATGATGGTATAGGTCTTAGCTTTGAGAGGGAAAGCAGCAAAAGAGGAAAAAGAATTATATAAGCTATCTGCTTATCTTTTAAGTTTTTCAGCTTTAATGATGGTGGCAGTTGATTAATAATTAATTAAATTGGATCAGTCAAGGGAGATAAAGCTTTGTTTGTTTGACTCTTTTCTGCTTACAGGATAATAACATGGAAGGACTCTCAAGCATGTGATCACATGAGAGTAATTTCTACCCATGTGACATCGAATCAACTACATACAAGGCTAGTCTTTTATTGACAAATGTACCCCTTGAATTAGCTTTGACCCTTATGGTATATCTTGTTATTTTCCCTATCGGTATAAGGGTATTTTCGGTCATCGAAAAAAATAATTCAAGTGGTAGATATCATGTCCAGTTCCTGAAAAGCTACCTTCAAGATTTGCACATCTCTAATTAAATACAGACAGCTAATAATTAGCATAATGGTAAATCTTTCAGTTGATTATTCTATGCTTCTCTGTTCCATAATAGAGGGAGACAATAATGTCTTAAAGCTCAAACACCCTGAATAAACAACTGATACTTAACATGTGATTAGCAAACAAAATTAAGATTAACTATTTGGGATTCTTGCTGTGACTTTCTTGGTCCAGGTGGGTGCTTCAATTCAATTCAATCCTTTCATTTTCAATTTCCTTTCTTCTTCTCCCCATAAAGCTTGCAGTGGTTTACCATTCATTTCAAAGTTTCCTACAAAAAGAAAAAAAAAAAAAAAAAGAGAAAAGAAGAAGGCTCTTTCAGAGATATCTTTCCATTGAATTAGAAACTTTATGTTAAATTTTACGCAATGCAATCAAAGCAAGTGGGACATGCAGCAATGGAGGAGTACCCTCTTACCATGACAGCCTAATTACTGCTGTGAGAGACAAGAGGAAAAGGTCAACAGACAAGAATTTAGTACCTTGTTCACAGGCCCATCTGATATAGTTACCTTTGGGGTCATGGGGACCTTAAAAATTTTTGGTTGTTATGGGGAAATACAATTGATCCGGTATAGACTCCAAGGCAAAAGCATGGAAGGCCAATGTGGCTAAACTGTGCAAAGATTGGGGGACCATTAATAAATTTTTTTTTCTGTTAAATTAATTACTAACCATAGTCTTGTTTCATGCAAAAGCTTAGCTGTTACAGCATGAACCCTCTTGCTTGTAGATGCTGCTATTATTATTCAGTTCTCTGTTTGATAGCTGACCAGCTGCTAGAAACAGAGAGAGAGAGGACCCTGTATGAGTTTCTGACTCTGACCAAGTTTGATTAGCTAACCAACTCTGATCAAGATCATATATTATTATGCTTATTAATGGAAGCCTGAAGGCCTTGTCAGTCAGGCAATGAAACAGACTGACAGAAATTGCCATAAAAAATTGCGTCGAAACCTGATCACCAAGAGCGAAGATATCTAGCTTCACACTTGAGCCAAACCGTTCCATCATTTATTACATGTTTCTTCTTCTTCTTCTTCTTCCTTCTTCATTTTCTGGGGTTTGTGACAAGTTTCAAGGTGAAGCTAAGATTGTTTCTGTTGAGGAAATAGTATCTGACCCACTTGAAAAGGATAAGAAGCATGGCTGCATGGGGACACACCCAGCAGGCCAAGTGGCGAACACAGCAACTTGAATTGGTCCACCTCAACTGCATCATTGCCCTTTGGCCTTTCAAGTTTGAAGAATAAAATTCCTGCTGCCTTGGTTTTGATCAACCCAGAATTTCCCTTCATCAACCATGATCTTTCTTTTTCCCCCGAATGGTCCTACAAAAAAATAAATATATATTTTTTAACTAACGAATCCCTTTCTATCCCAAAGTGAAAAATGAACTTGGACATTGATCCTATTCATGTTTTTACCTCTTACTAGTACTCTGTCTGACTGTCTTTGACAACTTCTTGCCTGTCATCGTTGTCTGTTCCGGCTTGAAGAACCAACACTTCCAGCACTTCAATAACCTAACAAATCATTCCTAATTAGACGCTGAAATTGTCTACTAAACAACTATATTTCTTGTTTTAATTCAAACCAAGTGAGCATAGAAGCATTTAAATTTGGGTACGGGGCAAACAGGAAGCTGGTGCAAATAATTACTACTACTGAATATATTGTACAGATATAATCACAAGCCAAAGACAAAATTATGTGCTTTGATACAAAATTTGTGCATGTCCGCATCTGGTTCTTTTAAAATGCTAATGTACGAGTTAGGGACAACACAAAAACATCTTTAGACAAGCAAAGATAGACAGTTGGTAACAACTTTAGACAAGGCTAAAGCTGGAGTAACATGTAGCAGCTAATTTCCATGCATTTCAATCTACTAGCCAGCTACACTTTTTGTAGGCAACTGGTAGAACTTTGGTCGAGCACAAAAATTAATAATTCAGCATAATCATAGAGACCCTAGCTGCCCCATTTTCCATCAAGTCATATGCTCTCTAGCCTCTACCCTCATCTTCTTTCCTTATATGAAGTTTGAAGGTGAGATGAAACGTGACGAATCTATTAGACTTTACAGAAAAATGTAAAGAATCGTACAATAATTGAAAAAATTTAAATTATATGTCCTTCAACTTTCACTCATTAGAAAAATGCATAGAAAAAAAAAATGAAAGGGAGATGCAGAAGCACCTCAATTTGCAGTACGAAGAAAATGTAACGAATCTTACAATAATTGGAAAAAAACCTGCAGGGGATGGAGTACTTTATGTTAACGTGAGATTTGTTTTTAACTGATTATCAGAAATGCAGGGTCCTATCTTTTTCAGCTGCCAACCTGCCAGAGCTTTGTAATTGTTTGGCAGTTCAATTCTGTTTCTTGCTTTTCATATCTCTTGTTTTCTTTCCGTTTCCTGTGTAACAAGCTTGTTGAGTTCTTACCAGGAGTAACTAGTTCTGTGTAACAAGCTTGTTGAGTTCTTACCAGGAGTAACTAGTTCTTTTGCTTTGATAAAGGCATGTGTTCGAAACAGGTAGGCCATGCTTTTTGTCTAAATTTCTTCAGCCATTGAAAACTATGAAAAATCTGTGCAAGATATTTTTCGGAATGGAATGTTGGTGTCTGCCCCATTGCCATCCCTACCTTGTTATCCTGAGGAATGAATCTGAATAAATATGAAAAAGGTACAAAAGGAAAGGTGTGATGCTTGTGCTACTCCAGTGGATGAGCTATCCAATAATCGTGGGTTTAGCAAGTAAATAAACTTAGCATCGCATCCTAAAGAATTTTTCCCAAAGCAACCAGTGTGTGTAAGTTGAATCCCACCAACAAAAACTCATAAGGGAAGCAATCTCTTCACTACTTGTGCTCACTTCCACAGACGTAAAATTCTTTTGTGAGTAAATATAAATATTTCAGGAGTTGGATATGTAGTCTAAGGCACCACTTTCACTATTCCAAATCCATTACTGCCATGGTCGGTGTACCAATCTCAGATTTCAAGAAAACTCTGCTACCAGTAATCCCCACAAGAGCACTCACAATCTCTAAAATGATGAAACCTCTTTGCATCTCTTACAACAATCTCTCTTCCCACCACTTTTGACATAAACTTGAATGCATTATGGCAATCTCCACAAATCCTAAGGTTCTTGAAAACCCTCACTGTGGCTCCTCGAGGAAACTTCATAAGTGCAAAAGCTACTGCAAGCTTCTCGCTGTGAGCAGACAAGACTTGTTCCTTCCGGTCAGACTCCATCTCATGTAGCACAAATTTTGTGTCTGGAACGTAACCTAATTTTCTCATTTCCAGTACCAATTGACTAAGATAATTGTAAACTGCTTGCACCTCAGGATGCACTGTGTCATCAACCAAAAACACGTGGACTTTGTTTTCAACCTCCACCCAACTACAACCTGGTTCCTTATGCACGCCTCTGTCTCTCATTAATTTCCGTGTTTTTGCCACATCATCCCACCGTCCAGCAGTAGCATACATATTAGACAAAAGCACATAGCTTCCATCATGTTGTGGCATCAGCTCAATGAGTCGTTCTGCAGCTTGAATACCCAAATCTACATTTCCATGAGTCCGGCAACCAGCAAGAAGAGCCTCCCAAACTGGTGCACCTGGCTCAAAAGGCATTGATGTGATAACATCCTTTGCTTCTAAGAACTTTCCAGCTCGACACAGCAGATCAACAAGACGGGCATAATGATCTTCACCTGGGGTTAACCTGTAAAGCCTATGCATTGAATCGAAAAAATATTGCCCTTCTTTAACTAAACCTGCATGGCTACAAGCAGATAGAACTGTGAGGAAAGTAATCCGATCAGGTAATATGCCTTCCTTCAACATCAGCTCAAAAAGTTCCAATGCTTGAACACCATGTCCGTGCTGGCCCAGAGCTGCAATCATGGCATTCCAAGACACTGAATCCACACAGGGCATGGTATGGAACAGTACACTGGCAGCCTCCACAGCACCACATCTTGCATACATTGTAATCAGTGCATTTCCAGCTGAGAGGCTTG